GATAAAAGACATGAAAAATGAATAATAAGGTATTTTGGACGTTGCCAATTTAATGTGTACGTGTATTAAAGTAATCCGTTCATCCCTATTCATTGTCGTACGTAGTATATTATTTGCTTTGTTGTCAGAATGTTACAATACTTTTACGTAAAATACATTTTCATTGTCACGTTCCGAGCGGTGATATAATTTGTCTGTTATACAGAATTAATGTGCGTACGTATTGTAGGTATCGGTGAATCTGTAAATTAATGAAGTTATAGAAACCTATTAATGAATCATATGACTAATAAAAATGTATATTAACTATAATAATATTGGAATTATAAAAAAAATGATAGCATTTGCTATGCTATACTCCTCGTTTATAAATTACATATTTAATGCTTTATCATTATATTTAGAGATGGATAAAAATATGATTCGACTACTATAGGTATGTATTAAGCCCTTTATATCTTCCGTTAGACGAGTTTGAACGACAAAAGTTATATTATTCATTGGGAACTGAGTTAACTCGTCACTGCCCACTGTGCACTTATTGAAGTGTGAATCGAGTTATCGAGACAACTCGGTTATAACCGTGAAATTGTATTTTTAGTGTTGGTATCTAAGTGTCATTATTTTAAATAGTAAATGAAAAAATGGAGGATCATTAAGTCGGGTAGCTGTAACTATCCTTTTGTTTATTTTTATCTTGGATAAGAAAAATGTAATGCGATGTGGAAGATTATTATTGCGATTATTTTGTTTTTTTTTAACTTTCATAAAGTAGTAGATATCTTGTATTCATTATAAAATCGTTGTCACTATGCAAATAAATTTTTAATGCTTTTTTATGCCAATTTTTAGTTACACTCGTGTATTATTCAAACCGGCAACGTTGTACGCGTAGATTCTGTTTACCCTGACTTTGAAACAAAGTTTAATTTTATTCTACTCGTACTCGACTTTAATTCTATATGCAAACGTATATGTATAAATATCCCCAACCATTTTGTTTCTCAGTATTACAATGTACCATTAAGAATAAACGGCCATTGTTATAAACGAATTCATGTAAAATATTTTTAAAATCCCTCATATTAATACGATCGAGGTCGTAACCCTGTCGAAATAAATTCTTATTTCGCTCTACCAATTTCGATATTGTACTATATATCTATGAAGATATGAATTTTCTCCATTTGTAGGTTTTCAATTTCAATTTATCATAACGGAATTTCTTCTGTTCATTATAAATTAACATGTTTTAAAGTGTATCGTATTTTAATATAGTATTTAGTACAATTACTATTATTAAATGTATTATATTGTATGAATGAATGATTTATTTCGGTACAAACACGAGACATATAATTATAGGTTCCGTTTTAGATATTGTGACGTGCCAATAATAATGACAATAAAATAAAAATGTACAATGGCGTCACACGGCTGCACCAAAAATAGGTTGCCAATTCAGCTTATACGCCAGACTTGTAGCCTGACGCCGATATTCTATTGGAATTATCTAATTGGATGATAAATGATCATTAATAAAATAATACAGCTTTGAATATGAACAATGATAAATCCATTCTATATAATAAACTAGCTTTCGCCAGCGGCTTCGCCCGCGTGGACCCTAGGGAAATGTTTGGTGGGATCAAAATCCTATTATCTAAGTCAGCTAATACCCTATATGTATACCAAATTTCATCAAAATCCATTGAGTAGTTTCGGCGTGATTGACGAACAAACATCCAAACAAAGAAACTCACATTTATAATATTAATAGGATTAATAGGATATACATCAGACAATTCAACACTACAAATATTTAACCAATTATTTACAGTTATATTTAATCTACATTTCAATGATTTTAAAAAAAGCTGAATTAATCACTTTATCTAGCTTGTAATATAATATCTAACTTAAAGTAGTAATAGGTATTTAAAAAAAAAAAAAAAAAAAACAATAAATTGAAGTTTTGTGCACGACAGGTTGACTACTGATATTGTAGAATAGACGATGTATAATTACAATTAATTACACTAACAGCCAATTGCCCAAACGATTATATTTTATTTGTTTAACGCGACATTAATTTGACATTCATTAAACTTCAAAGGTGTCATTAAACCATAATGGAAGTTTGTGTAATTGACCGATAGATAAGTTGGGCAGAAATGGCTAGGTTAGATTAGGCTAGAACTGCGATCACAACAATTCCACTTATTGTATTTAGTACCCAAATCTGAACTATGTTTCGTTATGTATTTTTTCTAATTAAATTGATTAATTTATTGCATTATTAGTATTTATAGTTACATGCAATTATATTAATTATTATAAAATATTACTTATTATTAAATTAATATTATGAGTCATAATAATGACTTCATATGACTTCTTAATTTTTGTTAAGTGTAGAGAGTCTAGTGTGTTGCTAATTTGAATCTGGAAAAAGTAGCGGATATAATGCAAAAATTTGATAGATTTGAATAGAGATTGTTGGATCTCGCAAAATTGTATAAAAATTATAGATAAACTTTTTGATTTCTAACGAAATATTTTGAATAGTTGAAAAGTGGTTGATTTATAGGTCAAATCAATAGTCATGAAGGCGAAGGTCTGAAGCGATACTGCACTGTGACACTCGTAATAGTTTAACTAAAATATGAATAAACACTGAGCTAAATGTATCTACTGAATAATGTATTAAACATACTTATGATATAGACTCAGTTATGGATATAATCTTGTTAAATAGATCACTGATGTTATTATGGTATTGACCGAGGTATGATCAAATGAGCTATGGATGACTAAGGGAGATAATAACGAATAATAGTTTGTTTTCTAATAAAGTGGCATTTTTTGCTTGTTATATAAAAACCATGGTAGACTAAATTTAACAAATTGTTTGTATGTGCATTTTTATTAATTTTTGCATCATCTTTCTACCCGAATAAACAAATAACATTGAGAGAGTAGTATCTTAACATTTAGAAAAATAGAATGAAAAGGATAATTTTTAAAATTATCAATTTTCCACTGAATTAGTGTGACGTAACATGTTTATATTTTTTATAACATCTTTAATGGCAATGTCCCTCAGAAAATTAACATTACCTAAAAAAGTATTATATTTAACTCAATGAATTATTATATCAAAATTTTCTAGTAAAATATATATATATATATATATATATGGTAGTTTTTGAGCTTAACCCTTTCAAACAGACGTGTCTAGGAGTCGTTGTTTAATAATACTTTGTATTGTTCGGATTATACAACACACTCAATGCTCTTAAGCAAACATCTGTTAACATTCTTATTAAAATGAAGCTCTCAGTAGTATAGTATAATTTGTTTTAATGTTTGTAGGCACTCACCAAAGTAAATAGTACAAACTAATTGCTTGCATTAACATGTTAAGCGATAAAACTAACATATATCTTAGGCATTAAATGTGATTTCGTATTTGAGTTTCTTTAATTAAAATAAATATTGTCGTATATATTTATCTGATTTATCTGCATGAACACATGTTTCTCACCTGCTTTTTTAAAGTACATAACTAAATGTTTATCTACCCGATGGGGCAGTGGTTAGCGTGTTTACTTAATAAAAAAATATTATTAGGTATGTATCTACAACTATACCAAAGTTCTATATTATTTCTCAAATATTAATGGACTATTTATTTAAAAAATAAATAGTACTAAACCAGCCTAACGTTCTTAACAGATTATTTAGAGATTCATTTTGACACGTTCAATCAGGACTTCGGTTACGCGGTAGAGCCACTGGAGAGTCAATCTTTAATATATATTTATTGGATTTCCGGTCAGCAACTTTTCTATTCTGTAATAAAATCAGCGTTGAACGCGACGTCGAGCACAGCGCTGTGCTGGATTAAGTTAATTACTTGATGTGAAATCAAAGATATAACGCAAGAAGCTCTAATAAATGTTGTAAATTTGAAATTTTGTATCTTTAATGTTACTTTCAATTAATTTAAATTTTAATTAGCGTTTGTGCAACTGTGTATTAGAACACTTTATTTGTATGAATGCCAGCGTATAATAATTAAAATGTTTATTCACGAAATACCAGAGACTGATGCTTTTTGAGCACGCGATCACATGTAAACTGAGCTAATCGCAACTGCCCACATCTTGTCACCGCTGTAAGGGCATGAATATGTATTTTAACAGCAGTGCTATTCTAGAATAAAATCGGCGATTAACGGAACGAATAAATAAAAAAAAACCAGTGCAATCAACGCTGTCACAGCATAGAGATTAAATCAAATAAAACCGACTTAGAAATATAAAAATAATTCCATAACTACAAAGGCGGTTGTTAAGGGGTTAAAAAGTCATTTGCTGCCGATATGTTGGCCATGCTTTTAACTGCCCGACTTCCAATAAGGTTTCTTGAATTTGTTAACTATGTAAAAATTTATTATTCGATTTTTTGAAGTTTAATTTAGTTCTGTATAAATAAAAAGAAATTTATTTGTAGATTTTTTTTAAAATAACAATATTATTTATAGAAGTCCATTTTAAAATTTTGTAACCAAAACGCTTATCATTAGCTTCGGCTGCACTAGAAAAACTATTATAAGGAAGATAATTACTGTTTATTCTGAATTTCTCATTTCAGAATAAACAGGATTTTTTAACTTTCTAATGGCGTTATTCAGTATAGTCCATTTTGTCCACAGACGATATCCGCTTTTGGCGCCAACGATACCGTTTTCACTAGTAATTTCCGCACACAGTATCGAACGCCCCTCGAAAAGACCTGCTCTCCCTATATTGGAGGAAATTAAATCCGTTCGCATTTTAAATCACGCTGAATTATCGGTTTCACACGATTGAAACTCTTTTACCTACGCATATATTTAACAAAAAAAAAGTTGAATTTTTTAGCTTTTGCGATTTAAATACAGTACGCCAAGCGTTAATGCGCTAAATAAATAACATTGAGCTTATTCCTTGCAGAGACCGTGCAACTGTCAACGGGCGCGAAAACGATGCCATTGTTTTCGGCCGCACAGCAACGAAATATGGCTCTTTTCGAGATACTCTACCGGCTGGAAGTGAGTATACCCTTTGTTCAGCCAAACATATTCAACCTCACCGTTGAACAAAAACTGACACGTCACTACGCTAAATGTGTTTTTTTCAGCTAACCGAGCTACCGAAAAGTATTGACGCAAACGATTCTTTGTGAAAATATTCGGTACGAACTGTTTAAATTGCGTGTTTCATGTGATTTAATGACATAGTTATGGTCTGAAAAATGTTCGCGAGCAATTAGGCGCCCACAATTTGAATATTAATATTATTATTGTTCTACCAGTGGGTATATTCGATTACATCAGCGGGTGGCGCCGCCGTAACGCTCGTCCTTGGTACCGTGACGGTAGGTGACAAGTTGTCCGTTTTTGGCATGCAAATGTCTTGAACGTTTAATTTAAATAGTAATCATTCGATGTACTTGAAACGTGCAAATCGTCGTCTCGCGACTATTGTCTGACGCCCTTGGATTCGAGTGGACATAGGACGTGGCGAGCATATCTGATTAAAAACGAATTTCAGTTTGATTAGTCAATGAGCCGTCAGCAATTGTAAACCTTTTATTTTAGCTCTATACACGCAGATTATTATATAATATATATAATCGAATCCCTATTTCCCATCAAACGTGAACGTCTGGAACGATTTTGCTAATTCTTTTTTTTGTTGTGTTTGATATTGCCAGGAGAAGGTTCTTATGAAAGAAAAAAAAATATGTAAAATTTGAAAACTTAATAATATTTAACCACCATATAACTAACCTAACTTAATGCTTTGGATAATATAAACTTTTTTATGTAACCTTATGACGTTTGATCTAGAGTTGACAGAATGTGTGCTGCAAATATCGACAAATAGGATGTGAAAAACGGTTCGAATTTAATATTCATAATTACGATAGGACAACGTCTGTCGGGTCAGCTAGTTTCAAGATTTCTTTCTCATTATTTTGTGACATCATACATATAATCATGATAACATCCACAGAACGAACATAAAATAGTTTTTTTAGATACATTCGATAATATGTCTCCATGTGTAAAACTTGGTGTTCACTTTATGGTTCAATTTGCATTGTTATAACAAAGCCCTATGCTATAAAACTAAACGTTTCTTGCAATAGTTTTACTAGGTGTTCAACCTCGTCTCTCGAAATAAACTGTCATGTTCCACACGATAAAATTTGCCATAAGATTTTACACTGCGCTAAAGTATTCTTTATAATACTTGGTGTAGACAAAATGTTGATGATTCCTGATGGCTATTTATGACATTGTGTGAAACAAATGGTAGCTCGATTAATTCCATAAAATAGTTACATATCTTACTTACTATGCTTAGTTAGTACGCAATATATTATGTCATGACAAGTCTAAATTGAGTATACCGGTGGTCTACTAGCACGCTTGCGTTGCGTGGCTCCTTAATTTGCCCCGCTAATGGTTCCTTTGTTAACTTATGTTGGTTATTTCAACGAATGGATAAATGTATTTTGTCTATTTAGACGATTACTATTAGGGTATATAATAAAATAGTTAAGCTTTAAGCTGTTCCGTTATTTTAGTATTTTTGTTACATCATTGGACAAACAAAATCTCAAAATAAAATAAAACGTACAAGGTATTTTTTTTTAATATTTGTTGACAAGTTGAGTCAGATTCCTATTTGTTTAAGGAGACCATTTTTATTATTGTCATAAGCAAAAAAAAAATCATTGCTTAATATAGGAACTATAATAAGTATAGAATCTACTACGACAGATTTATAACAATTTTCTGTTATTTTTGATACATCACTATGAAAGTAAACAGCCTTTAACAACCTGTTAAATATTTTTAAGATTATTGAAAGGGTTCCGGTACGCAGGAATACATTTACCTATAGTAAAAAATAAATGGTTCAACTGTGATCCGAAATGTATTTGCCTTTTGAAGTTGTTTTAGTTTTCAAAAATAAAAAAGAAATTAAAGTTTTTTATTAATCAATCGAAAACCGTCAGTGTGCATCCTCCTTAACATTTACATCTTAACTAATTCACGCACCACGCCTGATTTAACTTCGTCACAATCAGTGCCAAAGCTGTTTGATTAGTTTTGTTTTTTTAGGAAATGAAAGGTACACAATCCGATGAAAGCTTTAAAGCTCTGCTCAACAAATCATTCTTAATTTAGAAATGTATTGTTTTTGTTTCTTTAGGAATTATTATTGTTGTGTGATCGAATGGTTAAAAAAAATGACCTATAACAAAGCATGGCTTAACTAGGGAACGCCTAATCTTACGAATCGTCTAAGTCGATTAGTTTAATTCCAAATAATCATTTTTCTCCTAAGTTGTGTGAAACCGAACACGAGTGTCCGAACAAAACTGGTTTTTCCAACCGAAACTTTCGTACAAAGATCATATTTTGAGGGTAAAACAAAGAAAACGTATTTCTGCGCCGAATATGATCAATAACAGCGCGAGAATGCAGTTTCGGTGTCGGTCGTAGTTTTGGTAGGTTTGCCCCCGAAATTGAAACTAAACGGAAACTTGATCGAGACCGAAACCGAACATTCGGTCGGACAATATTGTTAACGTTACACATAATGCGAACTGTAAAATAAAGGAGTGGGCGCATAATTCCAAAAAATAAACATTAACACCCCGGTGTTTATCAGTCTATGTATGTTTGTATGTTTGTTCCTATGTGGCGTTGTAGAGACCAAAACGTGTTGACCGATATTAATTATTCTTCGTCTTAATCTTGCGAGTGACGCTAAAGACATGACAATAATCAAAATTTATAGCGACTACCAGACGCCATATTTTTAGTTTAGTTCAGAGGTTAAATATGGGTGACAGCCTCTCTGTGTCCTTATTAGTGTAGTTTTAACCGACTTCAAAAAAAGAAGGTGAAGAAGGAAACTTAGTAGAAGGTTTTAGGTATATTAATCGACTAAAATAGAGGTTCGCACTTTAACACGTGTTGTATGTATTGTCCGCGATTATTTCGCGTTTGGCTATACCGATTTTGACGCGGTTTTTTAAAAGTATTTTTGGTGTTAACTATTATATCAAAAATATCAATATCACTAAAAAGCATGAAATAAAAATTAAAAAAAGATTGAACCGACTTCAAACTTAAAAAAAAGTGAAAATTAATACTTATCTCAAAAGCGATTTATTCAAGAAAATGCTATTAAAGCTCCGCCCGGGAGCTTTTCTATAGATTATTAATTAAATGATAGGCGCCCGATTTCAATAGCATTTTCTTGAATAAGTCGCTTTTGAGATAAATATTATTTTTCACGTTTTTTTTAAAGTTTCAAGTCGGTTTTATTTTTTAATAGAAAATCAGCAACCGACAATAAGCTACAATGTTGCTTCGTAGTTGTGACAGCGTTTATGTTTATGAAATAAGGCTTCTATCATTCTTCGTTCGTTTATTTGTTGTATGTATGTAGGTATAAATAAATGAACAACGAAATTCGTTTCCCTCTTCGGTACCGTACGTCGCGCCCAATAGATTTCTGTATAGAGAGCGCTTTCTAGGAGAGTGGCTATTCACTATTCGGATATCTAGATTTCTTGTAAGTCAATTGTAGAATAGTAGCCGTTGGCTGTCTGTACCGGGTTTTATTTTCTTTTATCAATTTCCCATTGTGTCCACGGGGAGATTATTAATAAATAAGTTTATTAATAAATATTTCGCCTTCACGTATCTATTTATCTTAATCAATATCGAAATTTAAAATGAAACTATTTTTACTTTTAAATGGAACTTTTTGTTTTCATTTAAAACACTTGTCTACATTGGGTGCTGAAAAATGCAGAGTTTAATTAAAAAACAGAGTTACAGTGGTCTGATCGATGATTTGTGTTGCAACGAAAATAGGTTTTCAATAGGATTCATGATAAGAATTCAATTGGCATTAGAAGTGGTATTCAATAACATTTTATTATCGCATCCCAAGTTCAGTTCGAAAGGACGATTGTTTATTTTACGGCATCACCATGTTCCATTGATGCATTCGAAGCTCTCACATCAGACTTTGATATTCACTAGATAAATTTATGGTGAAGTCACAAAGGGTCATTTCACTTGGATGGACAGCTCTTAAGATCTCGACTACAGCACTGGAACGACCTATTCAAATTCTCCACACCCTTGTATAAAATATGCATTAAGCTTTCTTACACTGACAATAGACGTACGAGTGTTGTTAGACGATACCACGTACGCGTAATTGATTTTATGCATAGTTAACAGCTGTACAAGATAAGCTGGCGAGTTTGGACAAGGCGTGTTGTTTTCGTTGGCGCACACTCTCACGGGGTGATAGGTGCGCCTGGGAGTTTGTAAGCTATTAATTCGAATTGAACGACGGCAACGCGGACCTCCCAAGTTGCGTGATAACCGGCGGGAGGTCGACTCTTCCCCCACATTTGACATGCAGTCTTTAAATCGAGATTAGCTTTATTGTACAATGTGTTTACCTTTACTAATACTTCCTACATTACACTTGCCTTATAAGGTGATGATGCTTTATAACTGGTAGAATAAGTAGGCGTTATTTTTTCTAAATGTCCGGATTAACGTTAGATTAAGATCTCTATCTGTTGGACGAGAAGGACGCCCTGTTTGTACAAACAGCCAATTGTTATAAAGCATTATGTCGCTTATCGATTCGCTTTCATTAATATTTAATACATCATTATCCCTATTGATTTTGTTAGATAAATATACAGTAACTCCATTATGTTCTAATGGTAGGTTTAAAATATAAATAACTTTTTTTTGTATGTTAATGGTTGTGTGGTTTGATGGAATTTGTTTCAGTCGAAATTAGTTAAAGCTTAGCTTTGATGTTTATTGTCATTTGATTCGACCAATTTAGTATTTAGGAAACGATATAATTAAACTTTTGAAAGATTACAACAAATGATTATTAACCACTACCTATACATTGTCCATAATGACTTCGTGGAGCACGCAAACAAACATTATTTTAACTGGCTTTATCAATAAACGATTGAATG